GAAACAAGGACGCCATGCGACAGGTGTCGGTAGACGCGGCAGTGATTATCTCGGGCACATGGTGCGTGGTATGCAGCGTCAGAGCAGCTGCGATTCGGGTTCTGCTCCGGTACCGCCGTGTCGCATCCCGGCCGACTTGATTTCGTCCAAAACGCGTTTGTTTTGCCTCGTACCTAAATGGCCGAGAGATACCTACTCGCCAGATGGCGAACGTTGAAACTGAGCTTTTTTTCGTTTAGGTAGTATGCAATATAGGCATAGCATTTCTTTCGTACAGAGTTTATTACCTCTTTTTTTTAATTTACACTTTTTTACAACATTTCTCAATAAAAAAGTGTGAATTTACAGACTTTTTACTCAATTCGTATTGTTTTTTTTATAAAACGTTTTAACACCTTTACAAATATGAATTTGTTTTTGAATAATGATGGAAACTGTATGAATATTCCCTATATTTTCGAAATTAAGAAAAAAAAGTGCAGGCTTAGGTTTGCTGCATGAAAATGAATTCCTATTTTTCAAAAATTCCTAAAATATATTGAATATTTCGTAAAAAAATATTTTTTTAAAGTTTGTGAATTTTCTCTTCTTTTACCAAATATTCTCTATCTTTACAAAATTTCGGGAAAACATTGCTCTCCTAACTTTTATATCAAAAATTAACTTAATTAAGACTTTTCGCCAATTTCATATTTTTTTCCAATTTTTCTTTTAAAGTTACATAAATAAATTAACTTTTTTTTAAGAGATCACCTTGTAAATTTTCTATACAAATGTGAATTTACTTATGAATTATGTTGGAAACTGTATGAATAATGTTGGAAACTATATGAATATTAAAAAAAGTACAGTCTTAGGTTTACTGCATGAAAATAAATTCTTATTTTTAAAAATTTCTTAAAAAGTTTAAAATTTCATTAAAAAAATTCAATGTATTTGCTTTTCTTTAAAAAATCGTGAGTTCACAAACTTCCTACTAACTTCAAATTTATTTTACACATATTTTTTTAAAGTTTGTGGATTTTTCTCTTCTTTTACCAAATTTTCTCTATCCTTACAAAATTTCAGGAAAAAATGGCCCTCTTAACTGTTATATAAAAAAAACTGAAGACTTTTTGCTAAATTCATATTTTTTTACAAAATTGCTTGCGAAAACGAATTTACTTTTTTTTAAGAGATCTTGTAAAACAATGCTCTTAACACTTCTGTAAAAAAGCATTTTGAAAACTGCGAATTTTCTCCTTTTTTTTCTAAAAATAAATATAGTATAATTATGGTAAGTACATAAAACAATCTTAGAATGTTTGTAAATTAGACCTTTTTTTCAACTTTTCGTAAAAAAATTCTAGTCTTAGTTTTTCTGCAAGTAAGTAAAGTAAAGTGAATTTGCTGTTGTTTGTGAAATTTCGTAAAAAATGGTAAAGTCTTAGTGTGATTGTGAATTTACAAGCTTTTTGCTAAATTAATACTTTTTACTTTTACAAATATTCTTTTAAAAAGTTTGTGGATTTTCTCTTTTGTTATAAAATTTTCTCTTTATTTATAATTTAAAAAAAAAATGCCCTTTTTGCTAAATTTATCTTTTTTTTTTATAAAATTTTTGAAAACAAATAAATTTTCTTTTTTTTTTAAGAGATCTAAAAAAATTGCGCTTAACTCTTCTCCGAAAAAAATGCGATTTAGCAGTTTTTTTTGCTATGTTCATACTTTTTTACAAAATTTGTCAATTTTATTTTTTTACGAAATATCGTAAAAAATTGCAAAATCTTCTCTTCTGCAAAAATGTGTGAATATACTCATCTTTTTTGCTTGAACCATGTTTCTTTTCTTTATAAATTTTCTCTTTTTTCACATAATGTCGAAAAAAAATCATCTCTTCTAAATCTTAGTAAAAAAGCACGAATCTTAAAACTTTCTGATAAATTCATATAGTTTTTACAAAATTGTTTAAAAAATTTTTAGATTTCCTGTTTTTTTACGAAGTTTAGCGTTTATTTATAAAATTAAAAAAATGGCATTTAAACGATTCTTATAACATATCAATTTTCGGCAAAAATATCTATAAGACCAAATATGTTCCTCAGGTGGCAAATCTAAATGCAAATTAATACCCACGTAATAAAAATAAAATAACTTTCAGATCAACACGACTTCTGAGGATTGTAAACATTTTTTAAAATTTTTCCTTGCATCATGCACAAGTGTGTCAAATTTTTGATGGTTTTAAGGCTTATCTCTAAGCTAACGTGTTGCGGCTTTCGTAACCAAAGTCGACTTTTTCATAGAATGAAAAATGGAAGCAACAGAAATCTCACAGCTACCTTGGATTTTTCGATACAGAGCGAATTATGCGTTATCTTATCGGAAAAGTGAAAATAGGACTGGATAGGGTTTTTTTTACGTAGGATCCAGTCACAGTGGTCAAAAAGATCTGTATTTTGCATAGCCTACTCATAAAAAGAAAATAATAGTAAAGATTCGTATTTCGTAGTTCGATTGAAAGTATACAAGTTTATAGATCAAAATTTGTGAAGTTGTATCACATTTCATTTCATAAAAAGGCAGCCTTGGGCCACAATCAATAAACCATGAAGCATGGGACACATTGTACAAGAAAAAATATATTTCCAGTACAATAGTTCTACAGAGTGCTTGTATTGACGACGATGTCAAATCCGTAAGCGAAATGTATCTCGGATTATTTGAAACTTTAATGGAAACGTCACGGCTGGAGACTGACAAAGGTATCGGCATTTTTACAGTAACGCTTTTAGGGTTTGTCGCTATTTTTGACAGGATGATCATTTTTGCACGAGAAATGAAGCTGGCAAATAATCAAGATATGCGAAATTTATGGAATCCTTGATACACCGATGTAAATAATCTATAAGTCTTTCAACTACCATTTTATGATCTGTAAGCATTAAAGAATGAACTTATTTATATTTGTACGTGGTATTATTCTTTTTAAACCTTCCGAAAGTCAGATTTTAAGTGTCACATTTTAATTTAAAGTTGCGAAACGCCCGAGGCAAGGAAGTGATAATTTCAAACTCTGGAATCGAATTTATTTAGTTTTTTCAAGAGGTAACTAATTATTATTTATCATCGATCTTATACCATTGTAATTGTAAAATATTAATATTTTTTTTACAACAGGTTCGTAAACTTAACAGACACAACATTTTCTAAAAATGAAGTTGAATTTCTGGAAAAAGGTGTCAACTTTAACTTACAGCACTTGTACATTAATAGAGAATTAATTGATCGATTGTGAATTAGCAATTAAGGACATTAACGATTCTAATTTAAACAAACATGTGTGTAAGCACCAAGAAATTTCTCAAATGTCACTATTAAAAACTATCAAAAGCAAAGCTTCTGAAAATAACATTATATTTACACGTGCAGATAAAGGGAAGACAGTCATAGCTATTGATCTCCCAGAATAAATTTCAAAAACCAACAATTTTCTTAAACCAGAACTTTTCCAATGCATCAAACACGATCCTACCGAGTTATATTAAAGACAAGTTAAGGAAGTAATTACTAACTCCACACTATTTAGTGACAAAGACAAGAATTTTTTAACAAATATGAATCCACAAAAATGTGCCCATTAGACCAGTCGTGTCTTATTTAACAGCTCCAGCAGTTCCACACAGATTTTAAACCAAAATTTGCAATAAAAAATTCTTTTGAATTAATCAACAAAATTGTAGATATCAAAATCCCTTCTAACGCAACACTATTGTTTCTGTGGCGGTGTAGATACGTGGATTATGTCTTTGCCTGCTTTGTTGGAACAGACAGACAATTTACTATTAATTTTTTAGACTTAACTATTACGAAAACGCAAAACAAATTACACTTATCACACAAAATCGCTGCATTTAACTCTTTTATACACAGACTTATTAATACGCCACTCTCAACAGAAAATTACAACAAAGAACTTAATATCATTAAACAAATTGCACTGAACAACGGCCACAATCCGTCCATTATAGATAAAATTATAAATAAAAAACGAATCCAGGCAACAGTAAACTTTATTTATCCGAAACCTAATACAGAACACGAACAATTTAAAACAATTACATACCTAAGAGAACCCGGTGAAAAAGTTTCAAAACAAAACGTAATTTAAAATAGCTTTCAGAACTAACAACACAATAGGAAAATTTTTAAAAAACAATAAAACGCAATGTCTAAAATCTCAAAAATTAGGTGTCTACAGGTTGAAATGCGGATTTTGTCCAAAAATTTATATCGGACAAACGGGTAGATCCTTCAAGAAACGCATTAACGAACATAAGAGAGCGTTCAAAAACAATAGTCTAGATTCTAATTATGCTACACCCTTAAACACAGAAAAACACATTTCGCAGGCTCTCGCTCCAAACATTCATGTGAATCTGTCGTTGTTACCGTCTCTGATGAATTCTTGAGGGCTTTGGAGGATGGCAAATTTGTGTCGGATGTATTTTTGGATTTTAAGCGTGCTTTCGAAACAATAAGTGGAACTAGGCTATTAAGAAAATTGTACAAAATGGGAACATGTATAAAAACGGACAAGTCAAAATTTGGTAGTTTTGGTAAATTAAATTAAATTGAGTAAATTAACAGATATACGCCAATTCAAAGCACGTTGAGTGTTCTTAATCTCTTGTCCGTAAAACAAAAAGTAATGTTTAATGTCTATGTATTTAGTTCTCCCATATTTGTAACCTGTAAACCCCACTTACGTGGACGGACGGAATATCGATACGCACATCCCAAGCCTGCGAACGCGTTTACTCGCGACGCATCACGAGCGCTGCTCCTCTCGGAACAATTTGATGCATTAAACGCATAAAACACCTTCCCCGCCATTACTTCCGGTTACGGAAAATCGATACGCGGCGGCCAGAGGGCGCCTGCGCGTTCGCCTCGTCGTTACCGCTCGAAACTGATTTCCGCCGCCGGTCGGACGATCGAAATCGCTTTCCGGCGACGCTCCGAGCTTTCGGCATTCTGTCACGGCGATCGTCGGTTTGTGGTGCGCGACGTCGACGTCTCGATCGGCGCCGGTAGAGACGACGTTCGGATTTTGTGGCGAGAATATTATTTCGCGGATCCCGGTCGGTAAAAACTGTGTTTCTCGATTTCCTTGCGGCGTTTGGCGGGCCACGCAGTCTACGGGAGGACCGAGCATGGTACGTGGTTGTTTTGTTGACGTTTCCGGGCGAATAATGGGCCCCGTACGGGAGAGCGGGCCTAGTTGACGCGTTTTTGAAATTCCGTTTTCTTAAAAAAAAAATTCGATATCCAGTTTCCTTACTTGGTACTCTAAGTTTGCGTAGGGCCGTCAATTTCTTTATTTTTACCTAATTTTAAGTATTTACGAAAAATTACAGCCGTGTTAATTGCGACAACTTACCCCACAGCAGGGTAAAACAAAAAAGTCAAAAGACAGCGGGGTGAGTTGTCTAGTCACGACACGATATCATATTTATAGCTTTTTATTTATTTATAGCTTATTTACTCAGTGTTATATGTCACATCCTGTTAATAATAGAGACTTTTTTCCTTTTTTTTTCTTTTTTGTTGTTGTTTCATTAAATATCTAGTATTTACATGAAATCAAACAACACGCAATAAGTACAATATTTTCATACTTATCTCAAAATATTGTATGTTCCCTATGTTATATTGAAGAAATTTTAACTTTTTAAATTTTAATTTATGTTATTGTGATTGGTTGGTTTGAATATTTCTGTTTGTTCTGCCACGTGTCAAATAGTTATAACCAAAACGGTTATGAAATATGTTTTACAAGCTCCCTTTTTGTCATTGAGTTGGTATAATATTCTCCATTTTTACTGCAATGTTTATGAAATAATCATTAACGCAGATAGCCATGCCTTCAGCGCATCAAAACTCATCACCATTATCATTACGTATATTATTGTTTTTACCAGATTTTTCATATGTCGACTCCTTAATCATTTCATATATTTTTTTCATGTTGTTTTTGTCTCAATCTGCTCACCAAGTTCAATTCAATTTATTATGTATGATAACTATTTTGGTTTAACCCCAAAAAGGGTCAGGGTTACAGAAGTGACTATGCTAAATACTTGGAGATTGACATTCCAGAGTCCTGGAACAAAAACAAAATGGCAGGGAGAGACTTGGTTACCCTACTTTCAAAAAGGCGATCTACCCTTTCAATCCGAACACCAATAATTCTAGATATTTCTGCCTCCTGCTCTTCTATTGCAGTAGTTGAAAAACCAGAACATTTGATTGGAGATTGATTAGCAGTTTTTCTATTAGAAAAAGTTGAAGTGCCTGAACAAACTGGCACTGGGGATTTCGAAGTTGATACTGGACTAACAGTTTCCTCTAAAACTTGGAATTCTGCAGCTGGTAGCGGTAAATTGGTGATGTTTTGTTTGCCTAGTAATAGTAATGTGCATATATCGGCATAAAGTAAATATTTTTCAATACTTTTGGAAAAATTTGTTTTACCTGTCTCATCCATGTTCCAGATATCTTTGTCAAAATATCTGTTAACATTCGTTCGATTAAAACTTGAACACCGGGATCGCCTTTTTGAAAGTAGGGTAACCAAGTCTCTCCCTGCCATTTTGTTTTTGTTCCAGGACTCTGGAATGTCAATCTCCAAGTATTTAGCATAGTCACTTCTGTAACCCTGACCCTTTTTGGGGTTAAGCCATACATAATAAATTGAATTAAGCATAGGGATAAAACCAAAAAGAAACTTCGTTTAAACTATTTTGCCGAACCAGAAAATGAATACAAAATATATCGTAACCGTATAAATAAATTAAAAAATAAGTTGAAAAATGATTACTTGGTGAGCAGATTGAGACAAAAACAACATGAAAAAAATATATGAAATAATTAAGGAGTCGACATATGAAAAATCTGGTAAAAACGATAATATACGTAATGATAATGGTGATGAGTTTTGTTGCGCTGAAGACATGGCTATCTACGTTAATGATTATTTCATAAACATTGCAGTAAAAATGGAGAATATTAACCCAACTCAATGACAAAGAGGGAGCTTGTAAAACATATTTCATAACCGTTGTGGTGATAGCTATTTGACACGTGGCAGAACAAATAGAAATATTCAAGTACCAACCAATCGCAATAACATAAATTAAAAATTTTATGCATATATTGGTCCCAAAAGTAAATAATATTTTACCAGAAGAGATAAAAAATATTACCAACAGCGAAAGATGGCAATCTCTATTTGAATGACAATTATTATATCTTTTTTGTTAAAATTTCATCAATATAACATTGGGCACATTTGCATTTAGGTGCCACTTATTGTGAAATGCATATGTTAATATTGTAGTTATTGCGTGTTGTTTGATTTCATGTAAAGACTAGATATTTATTAAAACAACAACAAAAAAGAAAAAGTCTCTATTACTAACACGATGTGACATATGACAAAATTACTAAGTAAATAAGCTATAAATAAAAAAAGCTATAAATATCGTAATATCACGGGAAATTTTGCCCCTTCCAGTCTTTCTAATATATTTTCGCACCACGACCTGAAAAAGTTAAAAATATTCAAGGACAATTTCCCCAAAAGAACCAATATCAGTCAACATTTTTTTATTATTGTTAAGACAAACTTCGGCTCTAGTAAATATGATCAATAGGAAGCCAAATGTGTACCAATTCTTAATATGTTACTTACGATTGTTTAAAATGATGCACTTACAAATAACACACAATTTTCTTAAACGATGAAAAGTAGAGCTGACCCAGCTATGAAAATCTTATGGCGGTTTCGGGCATAGTAGTTCTTAAATTATTTTGTTATTAATCTTTTTGGCCACATTAATGTAGAAAACCGATAATAAATAAAAGTTTATACATTAAATACCTAAAAATGTGCAACTGTGCGAGCGAATCCACCACAATTTATTGTTGCCGCATCGATTGCAATTCAAATTCCTCTTTTTATACAGTTTTGTAGCTTTAAATAATTTATAGACTTGTAAATGGGGCCCCCCATATTTTAATTCATTTTGTGGAAAAAAAGAACTAATAACATAATTGTTGCCTGCACACGAATACACAGTTCTTATTTGACATTTGGTTGTCACAAACTTTTTTTTTGAAGAAAAAATGGCTTATTACAGCGCTCAATGGCGTTTTTTATGTTTATTTATTTTATTTTATTTATTATATTATAGCAGTCCAGCATTAGGCGTAAGAGAATATAGGTTGTTGTATCACGCAAGACGAAACATATTTTTTCACGAATTGTTCGTGATCTTGCACGAAAACGCTGCCCAAAAATTGTCCAAACAGAAGAGAAGCAATTAGAAGTTCCCCTGTATTTTGAAGAAAACATAAAAACAAAAAACATTAAAAAAAATCATATCGACGTTTTTAGTGTTTTTCCAAATAAATATTTCCACGTGTTGGCAAAGTCGGCGACCATAGTAGTCTCGCTCATAGCCTACTAAAAGCGTTTTTGGAGATATGCACGAAAAATTGCTTGCCTTCTTGACAATTCAAGATAACATGGAGGCCGTATTAAATCGACTATTTCGGTGCGTTCATGAAACTAATTAAATAAGTGCTATCCGCGGTAGCAGAGATATCCTTTTAACCATGACAACTTCCATTACGGTTGAATCATCCCGTGCGGTTTGTCATGGGGTAAGGGAAATCGAACGTGGGGTCTGGAAATCCGAAAGATGTGCTTCTTATTCGCGTTTCTGTTCCGCTTCAATTTCGGCGACATTTTAAATTCTTCCTCCCAGGTTTGCGCAGCAACTTTGAGAGATTTGATCAGAAGCATTAAGTATTAGTATTAAAGAAATATAAATATATCAGTAGTACGGTTAAGTGGGTTCTAAGCCAAAAGATTTGGGTTTACCATGTTAAAAAAGGGACATCAAACACAATTGTTTCTACTGGAATAAGTTCTCGTTTATTTATTTTTTGTTTGCAATATGTTTTTCCAATTATTTACTATATATAAATGAAATAAAATATGAATATTGCCCAAAACTGCCGTTTCAGTAGTATAGTCAAGTGGGTTCTAAGCAAAAAGGTTTTCAGAAATTAAAATGTTGAAATAACTTAAAAGTTTTTTTACGATATTCTTAAGATTTCAACACAATAAATCTTGTATCGAACTCGTCTCTTTTACCTTCTTTGTCGAATTACTTTTTAAATTGGTTTGCAAAAATCAAATGCGATACAATGAAGCTTATTTATAATACTTGTTAATTTTAAAAAATAAATAAATTTTGTCAATTGTTTTAATATTGGTTTATGGTATGGACGGGACCAAAATTAAAATGGTAATATTGGTAGGTTTGTAGAAAAGAAATTGCAAGAACCAAATGCTCCAAAATCTTGTTAATTGTTAATTTGTCCATCCATAAAAAAAAATGTCAAAATGCCGAATAATCACTGAATAATCATAATCATTAACCACAGGAAAAGAGTGACAGTTATCGGAGACCCATACTACGACAGTGAATAACTTGTGAGATATATGAATAATTTTCCGCAAAATATACTTGAAGAACGGTTGCACTTATTTTTGTTTTCCGACTTTTCAAACTTTTTTTCTTGAATAACTTTAATATGCTGGTCTTGAAGATCCTTGAAGGGAACTTAGAGCCGCACTTAGAGAGAATTGTATTTCTAAAACATGGGGCTTGCCAAATGAATTTTGCCGTCTTGTCCATGTTATTTCCAATTCTAGGCCGTCATTTTGAATGACACTATATTCCATGTAATTTTCGTATTTGCTGCATAACTTATTACTATCATCAATGATCCGACATAAAACGACAAGTAATTCCTTGGAGCTCGAACAAAAAACCGGATAAGCTTCGTACCGTTTTTGAAGCTTAGTCTAGCCTTCTTAATTTCCTTGAGGTAGTCTAGTCTAGTTTAGATCTCTAAGGTGGACGTTTATCTTGAGACACTCCTTTATCTCAGAAACTATAGTGAATGGATCCAAAAGTTAAATACAAAAGTATCGTAAGTAAACATCATACGCAAGCAAGCGAATACAATAATTTGTCAAAAAATATTTGAATTATGACAGTAACTGAACTTATATGGCAGCAGCAGATTATTCGTGATAGACAAATGTTTCAAAGGAAATACTTCATAAAGTAAAAACAGT